TTCCATCAGATCTCTTCCCAGGATCTGGCTGTCCTAGATTCAGTGCCAGGCTGTGGTGTGGAGTGAGTGGGGCCAGTGTGCTCACTCAGCTCGAGTCAGGGGCTGTGGCAAGGTGACAGTTATTAGGGCAGACCTCTTCCTGCCCTGTCTGGTGGTGAGCCTGCACTGCCCACTCGTCACCAGTGGGGTCTAGGCTTCTCCAGCCTACTGTCTGTCCCAGTCATTCTCCATGCAGCTGTGGGGTCTGCCCCTGTCATTCTCCGTGCAGCCACAGGCTCTTGCGTCCTCTGCAAAGGACCCGAGGACTAGGACGCCCAGTCAGTGTTTCAACCTGCCCACTCCCCAAGGTGAGTGTCCACCTGTGCCAGCTCACTTTTCCTCTTAGTCCCCTCCAAGGGCACAGGTCCTGACCCAGTGCTTTCCTTCCCAGCCTTCCTGATTACGTGGGACTTTCTTCTTGCAGCCTTGGTTGTACAGGAGTCCTGCCAGTTTCCTGTTAGTTTCTGGTGAGGTTTATTCCACAGGTAGATGTACTTTTGATGTGGGGGGAGGTGAGCTCCATATCCTCTTATTCTGCCACCTTGACCCTCTTCCCATTCTTCCTTTCTGTCTCCTTTGCTTCTCTCGTTCTCTCCCTTTCTCTACTCAGAGAACACTGGTACCTGATGTCCTTTGTCATCTGTACCCCAGAAGTCTGTGGAGCTAACAGGAGTCTTATGCATACTCACCTGGGCTTGGACCCAACATCATCACAATCACCTGCTCCACACATGGATTTGGCTCCTTTTGAACAATGTCCATGATGGCAGCTTTCATACATTCATTCAACAAATACTTTAATTAGAGGCTTGCTCTGTGCTCAGTCCTGGTCTGGGGTTACTGGGGTGAATGAGACAGATGGGGGCCTCTACTCTCATGAAGGTTAGCGAGGGGAGAAAGGCACGGGCAAATACACAAGGCAACTTCTGTGGTAAGTGCCATGAAGAAAAGCAAGCAGGGTGATGCAGGGAAAAATGACTGAGGTTGTCAAGGCAGACCTCACAAAGGGTGATGCTTGAGGCTTAGATGATCAGACTGCATCAAGGCACCAGGCAGGTCTCTTTGTTGAAAATAATAGGATCTGACTCTGGTTAATGTAAGCAGAAAAGGAATGCACTGGGAAGGTATCAGGTACTTCAGAGAATGTACGTGAGGCCTGGAAAATTAGGCCGGTAGAGAGGTGGTTGCTGAGAGAGGCACTGACCAAAATCATGCTTCACATGGCTCTTGTTAGGACCCAGCCACCACTGCTCTGGATACTGATCTTGAACCCTGGATCTGATGGCATGCCACCACCAGAGGGACCTCCAAACTGGACCTGATCATCGCAGACCACAGGTTGTTCATAGGTGAGGCGGCTTTAGCTCTCATCTCATGAGAATGCAAGCCACAGACTTTATAAAGTCCTCCTTGATCCAGTCCCCTGTCTCATATGCTCCCATCTACCTCTCTTCCCTTGCCCCAGCCTGCCCCACTCCCACTGGTCTTACAATTCACACCAAGCCTACCCCCACCTCTAGGGGCACCGGCTTGTTCCTACGCTTGGAACACTTCACGTCTTCCAGAGTTTTCCCCGCTTCACCTTCTCCAAGTCTAAGCTCAAAGTCACCTTCTCTGGAGGCCCAGCTCACCTTTCTATTTAGGCCAACCTCCTCTGCCCACACGATCATCTTTTAACATACATTTACTGTTCATTGACCATCTTGGTGCGAATCTGCCCCGGGAGCCTAGACCAGTGGCTGGCCTGATGGCGGTTGGCCTAATGCTTTAGCGTTAGCAGAAGTAGTTTTGGGAGGCATGAGTTGACTCCTGGTTCTATCACTTACCAGCTGTGATTGCGCACAAAAATTTCCCCGTCTGTAATGTGGGCGTGTACCTCCAGAGGGTTCTTGGTGCAGAGTGAATGAGACAATGCAGAATAAGTCCCTGTTGCTCTCGTCCAGGAAAGACTCTCGTCCTTTCCTGCCCACCTATTCAGATCCATTAAGATGAGTCTCCCGAGCTCATATGATCGCAATGAATGTTTCCATTTACTTTGGATTATATGTCATTATAAATATTAACAAATAAGACTTAAAAAGGACACCTTCGGGTAAGTCGGACGAAAGTACAAAAATTGTGTGTGGGGGCTGCAGTTGCAGGACCGTTTCTGCAGTCGCCACATGATAGCAAAACGGTGGCAAGCAGTGCACGAGTCTGCGTCGAAGACAGCCAGAGTCCATGCATCGGGAGGTTCTGTCGGTTGGAGAAGGAACAAAGGGAAGGACATGCGCGGGCCGGGAGATGCAGTTCCTCGCTCTCGCCACTAGAGGTCAGGAGGTTACCGCTTCAGAGTTGGAAGACGGGCCCGTCGGGAATTGGCTAGTAGTGGTGGGCGGGGCGGAGACTAGGTAGGAGGGTGGGGGTGGAGATGGATGCCCCGTCCAGTGACCCGCTTGTTATTGACAGCTGACTTCGGAATGACTTTTTTTGGCGTCAAATTCCGTTTTTGTGGGGCTGATAGAGCAGAGGAAAGCCAGTTTGGGGTCAAAGGCAGAGCTGATACCGCAGCTTCTCAAAGCACTTTTTCTCTAACAGACATACAAGCTGTAAGGGGTCCAGAACAGATCCAGGGTCCTAGGGATGGTTCTGTCACTCCCTGGAAGGCCTCCAGTCCAAGAGCCCAATCCCCTGCCTGGGCTAGCTGTCCTCAAGCCCCACCTCCAGCCTGACTGTCCCTGTGGTCAGCAGGGACCATTTTTCAGGGCCAAGTCTGCACTTGCACAGCCTAGGGCGTTGGAAGGCCTTGGACTAGGTGCCCGGTATCCTGGGTTCTTATCCCGTGTGTCCTGAATAGGCCCCTTCTACTTGTGGGTCCTTGGTTTCCCCATGTGTCTAACAAGGAAGTTGTACTAGGTGAGGCTCTAGTATGCTTCTAACTTGGCCATTCAGCATTTCCATGTGTTTATAGGGAGTTGTGAAGCCCCTCTCTGAATGAGAGCCCCCCAAAAGGCAATGCTAAGAAGACAGCCAGAGTTATTCCAGACAAAAGGCTCCTCAAAATCAGACTCTGCCTCTCTGAATCTGCTTCCTCATCTGTCAAATGGAGATGGCAGTTAAACCCATCTCCCAGGCCTGTGACGATTCATCAAGATGGTGACTGTAAAAACCCTCAGCATGCACAAAGCCTTCTCAGAGAGGGAAAAGCAAGACTCCGTGACCAGCCAAGGTTGCCAGGTACTGTGTGGGGGCTGGAGTCCTGTTTTCCCTGGAAAATGAAAACAGGCTGATGGGCACTTGGTGGGATTCATGTCATCTCCCGCCCCCAGGCCTCAGATGGTGATGCGCTTTGTGTCTGCAGCAGAGGGTCCAGCCCAGCGCGCCTGTGAGCCCTGTACTAGCGTCAGTGTGGGTGTGGTGTCAGAGCTCTGGGCCGGGGATGAGGCAGGGGACCTGGAAGGCCTCAGGCAGATCACTTTCCCTCTCTGGGCTCTGTTTTCCCGTCAGTGCAGTGATGGGCTGAACACAGAAATTCCTGGTTTCTGCATTTGTTCACCCAGGGTTCCTGAAGGCCCCTTGGTCAGCAGGAAGAGTTGGGGGCTTTAGGCCTGGGCCCCAGAGTCTTGATGCCCTCAATTCCTTCCTAGAGACCCTGAGCCAGGGTGCAGGGTGGCTCTCAACTCCTGGAGGGCAAAGCCAGCCATTCCCAGAAACAAGGCCCTGGATGCTGCTGAGTACTGAGAGGGATCTCAATAGGGAATGGATGCAGAGGCAGCTGCTGGGGGCTCCCCCCTTTCCAACCGTGAACCCAGAAGGAAGGGCCTGGGATGGGGAGGGTGGAGGAAGGCAGGGAGCAGAGGGTGAGGACAAGGAGGACTTTTGTTTTTTTTCATGCGAAGAAGTGACTCTTTCTTCCTGACCACAGCTGACCTGATGCTTAAGCTGGTAACAACGAGAAGCAGGATCCATCCTCCAGCTTCCTCAGGAGGAGGAAGATCAAAGGTGGGAGAGCTGGGTCTGAGAACGGAACTTGACCCTGCCGTCAACATCAGTTTAAGCCACTCCCCCCATGGCTACAAGCCCAGTTGGCCTGGCAGCTAGGGGTGGGATGCGGGAGGGCTGGCTGCCCCTGCCCCACTCCTATCAAACCCTGCCTCTACCCCATCCTCCCAGGAGAGACCCTGGATCCAGACAGTTTCTCCCTGGCCCATCATCTTTCCTCTCCAGGCCTTGTACACCGTTTCTAGTGCCCTTCCTCCTCTGTCTGCCTAGAATCTCCACTCACTCTTCCAGGTCTTGCTGAAACATCACTTCTTCCAGGAAGCCCTCCCAGTGGAGTCCACAGCATGTGTAGGTGGGTCAGGCTGGCCTTGGCATTCCTTATACCCCTGAAGTAAGGGTTTGTTTTTAGCTCCACAACTAGACGGGGACCTCCCTGAGGGCAGGCTCTGGGTCTCATTCTTCCCCAGGGGCCTGCAGAATCACTGAGTGAAGAGGCACGTGCCCTTTGCCCATGTTCTCGGGGAACTCCAGGATCTTCACCAGACTCCTGGCTCTCAGGTGAGGTTTTTCCACCCACCTAGTCGTGCCAGAGCCGAAGTCAGAACCTCCTTTAGGGAATGGACTTTCTTCAGAGTCCTGTCCTACCCAAAATCTCCTTTCCCTACTGCCCCTCTGAGCCTGGGGTCCCCTCCAACTCACTGCTGACCTCTGGAGGGTCCCTATCCTCTGGATGGCCCCATCTACTTCCTCCGGGTGGGTACTGAGGTCCTCTTCTTCCGCCTAGCCCTCTTGGGCCTCAGGGGGCTGAAAGCAGGCCCAGCTCACCGCCCCCACTATCCCTCGGAGGGGCTGCAGTGGCTCTGTGTCCGAGCAGGTGTCCTGGATCTCCCCCGACGTGGGGGCCGAGGCCCTGAGAGACAGCCGAGGAAGCCCAGGGCCAGGCCTGCGCTGAGCCAGGCAGTGGGCAGGGGTGGGTGGGGCGGGCAGGCGGGGCGGGTCAGTCGCTGAGCACGGCCCCCGGGAGCTCGTTGGTGAGTGTGTGCCAGCGCTCTATCCTCTTGTCCTTGTTCTTCAGGCAGTCAAACCAGTGCTTCAGGCGCTCTCCCTTGGCGTTGATGCCTAGAACCACGCCGCCTGCAGAGGGGAGCCCGGGACACTTGACCTATGACTCTCAGGGTCCCTTGGGAACAGTGCCCCCAACACCCTCCCAGGCCCTGTGCTGCAAGGCCAGCCTATCTACCTTACCCACCTGCTCAGAGGGTAGACAGTGCTCTGACCACCACATTCTTAGACCCTCTTACTGTCTCCCACCCCCCTAATCAGGGCCCAAGGATCCTATCCTGCCTTTCCTTTCTCCAGGACCAGAGCAGTTCTGGCGGGCAGCTCCACCATGCACAGCCACCCAGCCCACCAGGAATCTGGGGCCCCAAGGCCCCAGAAGGGCTGACTGTCATCCACCCTTTCCCCTGCTCTACCACAGACTGCTATGTGACCCCTGCCAGGCCTGTTCCTTCCCCTGTCACACAGGGCCAGGCTGCACCGTGGCCTGATTCAGGACTCTGCCCTAGGACCGTCACACTGCCCAACAGCATTCCCATCATGGCCTCTCACCAATGAAATCATTGGATTTTCCAATGTCATAATCCCAGACGGTGATCTCCAGGGTCTTCTTGGCCAGGTCCCCATGCTTAATCTCGTAACAGAATTCCTGGCGGGCAGAAGGGGAGTGTTGGGGCCAATGCCACAGGGCCTGGAAGTCGGCCGCTGGCCAGGGTGCAGTAGCTGCTGTGACGGACTCTCGCCCACCTCACCCACTTCTGAGAGCCCGGCTGAGATCCTCGGGGGCCCCCTTCCCTCCGACCGCCTGCCCCTCGGTCACTGAAGCTGCCTTTTTCAAGATCCCCAAGAGGCCCCTTATAGCCAGGTCAGTGCACACCAGGCGGCCTGGGCCGCTGACCCTGCTGACCACTCCCTTCTCCGTGGAACCTTCTCTCCCGTCGGCTTCCACATCCGATGACCCCCTGGCAGTGCCTCCTCGGCCTGAGGACCTGAGTCGCTCGGGCTCCTCTCCCTCGTCTCGCTCCTCTGAGCTCCTCTCCAGGTGCACCCACCCCCCCGGCTCCTGAGACCCACAGTGACCCCTGGAAAACAGTCCCCCCAGGGGAGAGGGAGTGGCTTTCCCATGGCTTCACCAGCCCCTTGTACCTCGTTGAACTCTGGGTTCAGGGTTTTCTTCTTTACTGCTGTCTTGTGTTTGGATTTCTTGTCCACATCTGGCTTCAGGTATCTGGAATTATAACCAACAGGTAGGCAGAGGGTGAGACGAGGCTGTGAGAACGCACGGAGCCCCCAGGGCTTGGAAGAGCTTTGTCCCAGGAGCGAGACTTCTGTTCATTCCTGATGACCAGCCGTGGCGCGCTGACCAGAGTAGGCAGTGTGGTGAGAGAAGCAAGTGGGTCATTCACCCTGGACCTCTGTTCACAGCCCGCTCCTGACATCACGGAGCCCCCTCTGTTCCCCGAGGAAAGGGGATTTCCCTGATTTCTGGAAGTTTTAATTTTCACAAAGCTCACATTTCCCACCAGAAAAACATTTTTAGCGGAGTTGGTCCCTTGCTAGAGCTTTTCTGTTTTTAATAGCAGATTATAGAGATAAGAAAGATGCATTTTTATAGCATGCAAATTCTAAGTGTATAACAGTGGTTTTTAACCTAGTCCCTGGGATGTGTCACTGCTGCCTCACTGAAGCTTTGGGAAGGAAAAAGGTCTTTTGGGCATTGGCAACAGTGCTTCCTGCAGAGAAAAGAAATCCCTGCTTGCAGAACAGCGGTCTTCATCTGGGGCTCAGAGAGGTGCAGGGACTTCACCAAGCTCACAGAGCTGCTCGGCACAGGCTGGCGCTCAGAAGCCAGGCGCCCTCATCTGCGGAGCCGCTCACCCTGTCCCTGCACCGACACTAGAATCTGTCTCCCCCACACCAGCTTCCTGGTGCCCAGCACCGGGTGGGATCAGCACAGGAAGTGGGATCTCACTGTTGCCTTTCTGTGCACTTTTTAAAAAAAGTTGTGATAGTAATTATGTAAGTCATACTGGTTCATTACAGAGACACTGGAAAATATGTACTGACAAAAGTTGGGCATGGGGAGAGAAATGAAGACATAGGTCTTCACAAAAACCTGTTCTTTAGCAGCTTTATATAGCCATCAAAAATCGGATTCGACCCCACCCCCGTGCACTTCTAGAGGAAGTGATCTGACAGACGTGTGTTCAGCAGTACAGACCTACAGACTGCACTCCGGGTGCACACACCACATGGCGGGCTCTGAGTTGCATTAGAAGAAAGTCTGGAAAAGGCAAAACTATTGTGACAGAAAAATCAACAGTTGCCTGGGGCACCTTTCCAGGGCCTTGGTATCTGTGTCTTAACTGAAGTGGTGGTAACGAGACTATATACGTCAGTCCCACGGCAAGAGGGAGAAACCTGGGTGTAAGTTATACCTCAATAAAGATGGCTTTTTAAACAAGTGGGGGTTCCCATAAACCCCGACCCAGAGATGGTGAACTTCAGTTCCTTACAAGCCTCCATGTGTTTCTTGACTCATCTTTCTTTGCCTGTTTGGTTTGGGGGCGAGGAGGAGGGATGGGGGTCCCGGGCTGTGGGAGCGTCTCCCAGCCCCGCCTTCGGAGGCCCCTGAAGGGAAGCTGTCCTGGGCTCCCCACGCCCTCAGCACTGCGCAGCCGGTGCCCATCTAGAGACCCTCACGCGACCCAGGGGCCGTCCCCTGTCCTGCCCCCAGGCCTTTGTCTGTGCTGGCTCCCGGAGGGAGGGCGGCCCGGGTGGGCGAGGAGCACTCCCATCAGTGGCTGCTCGCCCTCCCTCGCTGTCAGGGCCCCTCCTGCCCTGGCCGCCGGGCTCCTGGAGTCCCTACCAGTGCCGCTTGGCTATTCTGCACCAGGACTACTGCTCTCCCGAGGCCGCTGGAGAAGGTAACAGAAGGGCGGCGTAGAAAGGTCCGTGAGGCCTAGCCCGGCCCTGGCACCCAGCAGTTACTCAGGACGTGTGATGACTGTTAACCATCATCAGCCCCGGAAGACAGGACTTGGGGTCAGCGTCTAGCCTGGGGAGACTGAGGCAGCTGTCTGGGATGAAGTTCATAAAAAATAAGGGTGTTGACAGAAGGCCTTGTTCCATCTAGCTCTGCCCTTCAACATCCTCTGCCTGGCTCTTCCCTATGGCCCCGGGTGCTCTGCTCAGCATCTCAAACCTGTGCCTGTTATCTCCCCTAGTCTCAGCAAGGAGGAGGCCCACGGTCCGTGAAGGGGCCTCTCAGAGATAGGGAACCCTGAGCAGCTGCCCCCTGCATGTCACCCAGGGAACTTGAATCAGATGGAGGTGTTTCTAGGCCACTGGGAACCTCCCTCTGCTCCATGGGGCCACCCACAGAGCTGCCTCTCCCTGGCCCTAGGGGGTGGCTGGCCCTTCTGCTGTAGCCAGTGAGACCCTGCTTTCCAGGTAACCCAGCCTGAGACCCTGGAATTCCTATCAACTTGGCAGGTGGGCACTGAGCCGTTTTAAAAACTTGACACCACCCTGGCTTCAGATCCCATTTTCCTCCCTAGGAAAGATAGCATCACAGATACAAGTGGACGCACGTCCTCCCTCCCCAGAGACCATCCCTACAGGGTCAGGCTGCATGCTCCACTCTCCCTCTACAGTCTGCTCTGGGCTTGGCACGCTTGGCATAGCTGTCCTCGTTAATCCACCCAGTCCTCATTCACTTCAAATGCACAGTACTCCTCTGTATGCAGACGCCACATTTTATTCATCTCTCCCTCTGCTGATGAACACTGGGCTGTCTCCAGCCTATGGCTCTCTCAAGCAATGCAGCAAAAGCAGCTTTTCACCAGGGCCTGGGTCTCTGGACCCCACGAACCTGGCAGGGAAGCGATGCGGCCACAGAGTGTACACATCTTCCCAGCTTACCCAGAATCGCTTACTTTCCCTCCACTGGTTTTAAGAGTCTGTCTTCTAAGCTAGGACAGCATTTCCTCTCCCAGTGGTCTGTGATCCACTGGAAGTCAGTTTTGCTAATGGTTGAGCTTGGGGCCCAGCTCACTGTTTTTTCAAAGGGAATCCCATAGTCCTTGTGATGGCCTCTGTCACCTGGGCCTTCTTGCTGTCCCCCGAGGCCAGGACTGTCCCTGCTTCTTAACTATATCGTAACTCCTCTGTCCCTCCCCCTGAGCAGAAACACCTCCTTTCTGCTGAGTCAAATTCCTCCCCAAGTTCTAACCTTCAAGACAGTCTGAGTTCACAGTCGTTTGAGGCTAAGATCCATCTTTTGCTAGTGGAGAGCTCCAAATCACAGATGGTGCCCACCAACCACCTGCTTCATCCCTCTCCGAATGGCCACCAGCTCCTCTCTGGGCTCTGATCACAGCCTGTCCTGATCCAGGTTCACCGCTCTGGAGCGCCCGAGTCAGCATCCCCCCTGCACCACCCTGAGCTCCACCTGGCAGGGCTGGGTGGACCCTTACCTGCGCCTGTGGCAGAGCACTGCCCCCGTGTGCTCAGCCCTAAGTCCTGATGGAGTCCCTTCACTGCATCTCCCAGGCTGCCGTCCCTTCCTCCAGCCTGCTCACGGCCCCTCCTGGGCCCCACAATCAGAGAGACCTGAACCAGCCATCCGGAGAGAACTGCTCTTTATGCAGGGATTGGGCAGCCACTCAGCTTCTGTGGGCAAGTTTCCTCATCTGAGAAACGGGTTTGGCCAGATTCAACGCATGGAGCACAGAAGAACCTTGTGGGCACAGTGCCCCCCTGTGCTTCACACAACCACTTGTGCAAACTACTCACTGCAACGCCTGCACCTCTTCGTAACTAGAGTGAGATGGTGGGGAAGGAGCGGCCGCACACTCACGTTTTCACGTAGGGGTCTGAGTAGCCGTTGGCGTCCATGGCGGCCAGGTGGGCACAGCGCACGATGCCAACCAGCAGGCCCTGCTTCTGCGAGCTGTACTTGAGGGAGACCAGGATGCGGCCCCGCTCCTCCAGGGACTTGTCTTCCGTCTTGTCCACCTGTGGAGCGGGAGAGCTGTCACTCAGCTGTCCTTGCCTGCCCCTCCCGTAGCCACAGGCCCAGGCCACGTGGAGCCCAGTGGGTGCTGGTGGGGGGGTCGTGGTTCATTGGGCCCCTGGCCCTTGGAACGTGCTTCCTGGAGCCTCAGGGTGTAGGAGGGCCCCATTGGGAGAATCTGGAAACAGTCCAAGCCCAGGGGCAGCCAGGAGGTGGGTGGGGCATGGCCCAGCAGCTGCCCCTGGAGTCAGACCTCAAATCTAGGTCTCACCGAGTGGCCCCTCCCCACCCCAGTCAGCATCCTGAGACCTCCCATTTCCACCTTGCAGCTGATGCTCACCGGGAACCCTGCTCCTCTACCCTCTGTCCACCCAGCCCGAGCCCTATGACCTCTGAGGGCCCCTTCTAGGCGTCTCTGCCAGGCTCCTCTCACACTCAGCCTCTCTGGCCTTGACGCTCCTCTGCCTGGCCCTGAAGCAGCACCTCACGTGGCCCCTCGTGGGCTGGGGCCACGCTTGCACCTCTCTGGAGATGGGAATCCTGTGGGGTGAAGGAAGGACCATTCCCCCCCAGCCCCACACCCAGGGCAGACATGGCCAGGGGATCACCGCATTCTCCCTGAGTGCAATCTTGGCCAGTTCTCCACATCGTTCTCAGCCGGTCGGTGCCCATGGGTCTGAGGAGGCAGGGGAGATCCAACCACCTGTCACTCAGGCCTCGGGCTTCGCGTGCGACAGCCTCACTGAACCACGGCTCTTGTGCCAGTTGTGATGTGTGAAAATTAAACAGTATAATGAGCTGGGATATTTTCAGCTGTTTTTTTTTTTTTTTTTACAGTGGGATATACTTTGGATGGTTTCACATAAAGACCATTTTGAGCTGGGACATTGCTCAGTATTTATGAACAATGAATAAGGTTTACAAGGCTCTCTAAAATCTATGAGGTACCATCAAAATGAATCTTTACTGCCGAGTAATTATCCCAAATTGCACCCTTGTCAACTGTGGGTCTCTGAACTGGACCGACGAGATCCTGGCAAATTCAAGTGAGGCTCAGCAAGGCCTTGATCGCGCCCCAGGCACAAGCATGTACACTCTCAAACACATCCCCTGTGCATGAAACAGGTGCTCACTCATGCATTCCACACTCTTGCACACACACACTGCTCACACACAATTCATATTCAACACCACCACACAGGTGATTGTTTATATCAGGGATCAAAACTCAGGAACACAACTCCAGCAGGAGTTGATGTTGCCTTTTATAAGTGACATAGATCATTTGGAGAAACTGGGTCACCTGCGGTTAGTGACTAATAATAACGCTTAAAAGGTTATCTCCATCACACACATGCCTAGGAGTGGGAAAGAATGTGACCACGGAGTACAGTTTGTTCAGGTTATGCAAAAATACAAAGCTGGGATCCTGGGCGGGAGCTCTGCCCTCAGGTCGGTTGTTTCCGGCCTTGACCAGGCCAGGCTGCGCTGAGCAGGGCCCTAGGTGGGTACAGGCACTCAGGGGATGACCCTTGGGCTCTGTCCTCTAGAGCTTTCCTGTTGCCCAGGCTTCTGGTGGGGAACTGTCCTGGGCAGAGGGAACTGTGTCCTCTGTTGGACTTCACCACGCAGTCCCTGAAGCCCCAGGTTTCTTAGCCTGGGACCTCCTGGCCAATCTCTCCTAGTCCTTCTGAAGTGGGTGAAGGCAGGCCTGCGGAGGGGAAGGGAAAGTGAAGGGGGAGGGGAGAGGGAAGGGAAGGGAAGCGGGGAGGGGGACATTGCTCAGAGACTGGGAGGGCTCAGCTGCTGCACACGGCCAGGGGGCAAAATCGGTTCTGACACGTTCAAACAATTGCAATTTCTAGGAAATAATTATTTTCTGTCTCCTCTGGGTATCTCACAGGCACCTCATGCCTAACACATTCCATTGGGCTCCGAGCATCCCCAGCTGCTCCTCCCACGGTCCCCCGCATCCTAGTGAATGACCCTTCATCCTCCCAGGCCCCACACCTAAGGATGCTGATCTTCCGCCCTTCTCCCCGCTCCTCTGCTGCCTGGCCCAGGTCCTATTCCTGCTCCTCCCTCTGCACTCTTGGCTTCCCCACCCTCGCCCTCCACTCCCTCCCATCCTGAGAAGCCTGTTAAAATATCCTCAGATAGCCTGGCCTTCGCCTAGTACGCTCCTGTGGTCCATCTCACTCAGGGATAACGCTGGAGTCCTCTCAGTCTCCCCAACCCCAACTCCTGCTCTCAGCTCCCAGGACCCCTTGCCCCCTGCTCTCTCTGCCCGCCTCAGTTGGCCTCTTGCCTGTGCCTCCTGCAGGCCGAACACTTTTCCGTGAAGGCTTTGCACCTGCGGCTCCCTCTGCCTGGAATACTCCCCGCTTGCCAGGTGAGCCCTCCCAGAGCACCTGTTTAACCCATCGACCCTCTCATGCTTTCCTTCTCAGCCCCGATCCCTGCTGAACGTTCGATCTATTTGGGTAGTTTATCTCATTTTTGGTCTGGCTCTTGTCCAAGCTTCATGAAGGCAGGGAGATTTATCTGTCTCCCCAGCACTTGCAGCCATGCCAGGCACAGAGTGGGTGCTCAATGAATGCTCTTGGGGGCTTGCCCGACTGGGGCACTGGGGTGCCCAGTGGTTAAGAATCCACTGCCAATGCAGGGCACACAGGTTCCGTCCCTGGTCCGTGAATATTCCACATGCTGCGTCACAACTATTGAGCTCTGCAACAAGAGAAGCCACTGCAATGAGAAGCCCGTGCGCTGCAATAACGAGTAGTCGCCGACCGCTGCAACTAGAGAAAGCCCTCACGCAGCAACGAATACCCAGCACAGCAAAAAATGAATAGATTAAAATAAAATGCTCTTGGCCTTGAGTTCATGGCAGCACGGGCCCTAGACGGCTCCAGAGCCTGACTCACCGGCAGCTGCTTCTCTAGGCAGATGCTGAACGTCTTGGTGTGGTTGGGCTTCAGCTTCTTCAGGGGCACCCTGGTCTCCCCGATGAACTCGTTGTGGCGGAATTTGTCCTCATCACACACGGATATCCTGGAGGGCAAGGGGCCTCTCAGTTTGCTTCCAAAGTCAGGGAGGGTTTGCAAGCGGTGGGTGGGGGTGTGTGGGCAGGGTCAGCCCTGTGGACAAGGCTGGGTGGGGTGGGGGAGCCGGCGGCCAGGGGGCCTCACCCACCGCAGGGTCTTTCGGATCATGTCTTCGTCTGTGATCCCGTAGTAAGTGAGGGTCTCGTTCCACGTGGGGTTCAAAGTGTTTCGGAGAGTTTTCGTTCTGAGCTTATTTGCCTGGAGAGAGCAAAAAGGAGCCTCTGAGCATCAAGGAAGGCAGTGGGCAGTGTAATGACCCCACACACATCCCAATCCCCCAGAACCTAGCAAAGCAGGGGGCGGAAGCTGCTCATCGGCTGACTTTACAATAGCAAAGGGGCTTCCCTGGCGGTCCAGTGATCAGGACTCTGAGCTCCCACTGCAGGGCACATAGGTTCAATCCCTGGTCAGGGAACCAAGATCCCACATGCCATGGTGCAGGCCCACCCCCCTCCCTGGCCCTGCAAAAAAAAAACCATCTGTACAACAGGCAGATGATCTGGGTGGGCCATGTCCTCACCGGGCCCTTAAAAGTGGAAGAGGAAGGCAAGAGAGAGGCAGAGGGAGGTGTGACAAGGACAGAAGGTCAGAGAGGTGCCACCGGCTTTGAAGACAGAGGAAGGGGCCACGAGCTGGGCCAAGGGGGCGTCTCTGGAAGCTGGAGAGGAATGGGAAACAGCTTCTCCCCTGGAGCCTCCAGGATGGAAGGCAGGCATGCTGCCAATCCACATTAGCCCAGTGGGAGCCACGCCCTGCGGAACTGGATGGTAAGAGCTGGGCGGTGGTGTAACCCAGACAGCTCTGGGTTCGAGTCCCAGCTCCCTGACTTGCATAATTTCTGTGGAGACCAGTGGGTTCCGTACCCTCTGTGAGGGCTTCAGGGCATAACGACCACCTCTCTCAGCTCGCTTTTCAGGCCCCTGTCTATAAGGAGACTGTGCTCTACGGAACGTTGCCCTAACTCAGGGGTCAGTCCTACGACGGGGCCCTAGGACTCAGCAGCAGGTACTGCTGACTTGAGGCCCTAGGAGTCTAGGGATGCTCGGCCATGGAGCCCCCTCCTGGGGCCACGTGGCTCTCACAGCTCTGGGGATCACCCCGCCCCACCCCCAGCATGAGGATGCAAGGCTGCAGGGGGAGCCTGCTCCTCCAGGCGTTGGAGAAGGGTCAGTGTCCTTTTTCCCACAGCCCGGCCTTCCCTTCTGGGGTGACTCCCCTGGACAAGTGTGACCCCCAGACCTATAAATACATTCATCCAGGGGGGTTGGGCCCCAAGGGAACTCAGACCTCAGCAGCCTGTGGCTCCTCAGCCTGGGTGGCCATCTGGGGGCAGGGCCACCCAGTTGTGTGGAGCAGTGGCCGGGGAGGCCCTCCGCCCAGGGGCCGCCCCCATTGCTGAGACTTCCTATGAGGTCACTCGCGGGCCAGGAAGCAAGTCCTCTACTTTGGCTTCTGAGAAAGAGGCCGGGATAAGAACACCAGCCACCAGGCTCTGCTGCTCAAGCACTCGGGTCCCGTGTACCCTGTCCCTCCACTTCTGCCCTGTGCTCTACTCAGAAGCGAAGCTGCTGCATTCCCCTTGAGTGCCCTGGCATGGGGTCTGCCCACCTCACCCCTTGCGATGTCTGTGGGTTCCCAAGGCCAAGGAAGGACCCACTTCTGAAAAGACGATGTGACCTTTCTTCCCATGACATTACAAAGAAAACTGCACTCAACTGTAAGCTGTATGAAAGAAGTCTAATCAAGTTCTGATCTTCCAGTGCCGAGGGCCACCTTGATGCTTTTGTTAATAGCTAATTTAAGGAAAAAAATTTCTTCTCTCACAGATGCACCTGTTGGTCTGCATCTGTTTGTCAGGTCATCTGGTGCGGGAACAAGTGTTCTGTTGTCAAATAATCTGGGCAGATGCTGACCACTCCATCCCCCTTGTGGAGCATCACAGAGCTGCCCACCAGGGCATTAAAGGCTCTCATAAGTCCTGCAGTAAGGAAACCGGTTTAATAATGTTTCCTGAAGTTACTTGGTCACAGAACCCTTTGTTTGCACATAGTATTAACATCCAGTTGAGGATGTTTCTTATAAAATGCTGGCCTGGAAATTCTCTGGGGGAGTTTCCCCAACTCAGCAGGCAGCTGGTATTGACTAGAGGTCCCCTGGGAGGCCTAGAGGGTGTGGGAGCTGGGGGCTCCCTGGGTGCCCCAAGTCCAGCCTGGGCCCCAGGCGGGCACAGCTGGTCAGCAGGCCCAGAGCAGGTCCCCTCACCTTACTGGCTCCTGGCAGCAGGTGCAGCTTGACGTACGGGTCTGCCAGCCCATTGTGGTCCATCGGCTTCAGGCCCTGGGCAGAGGATAACAGCAAAGGGTGTAAGTGGGGGATTGGGGGCACAGAGCAGCCAAGGCCTCCGGGCACCTGGGGCAGCAGGCCCCAGCAGGCCCCTGGACCTCCCAGCTGGGTCCACTCATGGCCCTCTTCACAGAAGCACCCCTGCTCCATACCCCCAGGATGCGGAAGCAAGGATGGCTTAGTGCTGGTGCAATTTCCTGCCCCCCACCCCCCCAAATGTCTGATTCTGCGTAGATGCCCCGGGGGCGTCTTTGGTCAGGTGGGCCTCTTTCTCGTTGTCTTCTAGTCATGGAGGCCAGGTGACTCACATTTCTCTGACTGAGGGCCCTGTTATCCTGCTGTGGTCAGATCCTTCCTTCTTCCTGAACCCTCTTCCCTTGCTCCCCAAGCCCTGCAACTTTCCTCACTGACCCTAAGTCCTCGTGAGCCCCTGTCCACCCATGCACACGCATCCCTCTGCGGCCACGGGAGAATGTTATATGTCCTGGAGACCAGGCTCTGCTTCTCTCTGGCCTGACCACAGGGCCCTGCCCGTCTGTGTCCCCGGAGGCCACACAAGCTGGCCGGCCGCGGAGAGTCCCTCTGCAAGAGGGCACCCCTCACTCACTCTCGACCACCATCAAGTGTGCACAGCCAGGGAGCCCACGGAACCACAGACGGGCGCCCAGCTGACCTCGTGCCTGCTCCTGTTTCTGGAAACTCTCTCCTGGGATGGCTCACGGGGATGCAGGGAGGGGGTGGTGACGTGTGCGGGGCGGAGGTGACATCCCCATGACCTTATCCAAAGATGAACCGCAAGGTGACCAGCCCACTCCCCCACCTCCCAGGGGAGCTGAGGCCCTTCTCCCCACTCCCCACCTTGGTTCAGAGGAGCCCGAGGGTGGGGGCTGAGATCTGACATTGGGGCTTCCAACTTCTAACCAGCACTGCCTCGTTACCAGGAAGGGGCCCACAGGTTTTATTGCCAGGATGGCTAGGATTCAGGTCCAGCTCCGGCACCTATCAGCTGGGCAAGTGAGGAGGCCTCTGCCTCCTGAGCCTCAGTTTTATCATCTGTAAAAGGGGTTAATAGTCCCCATGTCCCAGGGTGGTTATGGGAGTCGAGGAGGTGATGCTATTGCAGGGCCTACTGCTGGGGCATTTGCCCTGCTTCCAGTCTGGGCTGGGCCCTCTGAGGATGCCAGAGAAGTGGCGTAGGGTGGGGTGGGGTGGGGTGGGGCATCTGAGCTGGGCCCGGAGCTGCCTGGGTTCCAGCTCTGCCCTGCCCAGGAGGGCTGACTCCAGGACGAGGCTTGGCTGGGCGGCTCTGTGTGCACCATGGAAGAGGTGACCCTGCCCAACACACACCTCTTACCCTTTCTCACAAAGTTGGAACTTCCCAGTTCTGCTGTGGGTGGGTGTGTTCCGCCAGGCCCTGTGCTCCAGGACAGCATTAGATAATGTCTGCGTGGGTGGGGAGGAGGGCTGGCTCTGCCAGAGCGGCCTGGCAGCCAGGGCCCTTTCCCAGCACCCAGGCCTGGACAACCTCTATCTACACAGCTGGGTGGCAGGCGAAGGGAAGGGTCTGCCCGGGCCGTGCATCCTTGCCCTCCACCTCTTCAGATTCCCAACTCTGCTCCTAGGGCGGGTCTGGAGGCCTACAGGGAAGGCAGGCGCCACGCCACCACCAGAGCAGACCTCGGAGGAGAGGGTGGGGTGGGGATGGTGTGGGTCCACCAGGGACACTACTCACCCCATCACGGTGGCCCAGGCCAGGAGGGGCACAGCCGGGGCAGAAGCAGGCGGCCGGCCCCTCTGGACGGGCAAGAGCCACAGGCAGGGTGGTAGGAGGGGCAGAGAAGCTGGCAGGCTGGGGGGCTGGTGGGGGGGCCTGGGCCCAGGCAGCAATGCCAGAAGCTCCCTGCTTGGAGCCGGGACCAGGCCCTTCCACGGCTCTACCGGGAGGCTCTATCAGGCGGCGTATCCGCCCTTACCTTGCGGGAGAACATCAGCCTGGGCACCTTCCTCCCAGCGGGAGCAATGCGGTGGGGACGAAGGGAACAGCGTAGCTGAGACCAGAGCTGACAGGGGCCAGCCCGGGACAGGGGACCATGGGGCTCAGATACCTGGCGCCCCTGCCCAGAGAGCAAGCTCAGGCCCGTGAGACCAGAGCCTCCCCAGGGAGGCGGGAAGCCCAGGTGCTGGGAACTTGGGCTGGAGGCGTCCACGTCCAACCCCTCCTCTCCACCCTCAAGACAGGCCTGTTAGCACCCCGCCTGCCCTTCCCTGCCCGACAGCTCCCCAGTTCTGGGGGCCTTAGGCCCCTAAATGCTACCCTTCCACCCTCCTCCTCTCATCCTCTCCAGCTTCTCTACCCTACTCTTCCCCTGAAAAGCCTCCCTGCAGGGGAGGCAGCAATGTCTTAGGAGTAACTGAGCTGAGCACTGCCTCCTTGCCCTGCGCCCGCTGGTGGCCTACCTTGGCCTTGGTGATGGTGCAGTGCAGGGCATTGTTCTCCTGGTCGTAGAGCAGGCTGAAGTCCAGTGTGCCCAGGGCAGCTGCGGACAAGGAGGGCTCAGGTCACTCTGGGGCCACACGGGGGAGAAGCGTCAACCAGCCCTGTGCAGCCGGACGAGGTGTCACGGTGCCCATGCTGACTGCCACTGACTGAGCACCTACTACCTGTCCAGCCCCCCCACTACCTGGGAAGGAGCCGAGGCTCAGTGGGGTTAGGCCCGTCACTCGCCGGATGCCGTGAGTGGTGGCCTCCGACCCCTGCATCACGCCTCGTGGCCTGCAGCTGGTGCAGGGTGTGGCCATGTGTGCCGGGCACTCGGCTAAAGGGGTTCCTGTCATCCTGGTGCGACTGCCGGCCTGGGCTCCACACCTCGGCTTCCCTTGGCCTGTGATCTGTCCTAGGATGGTACGAGAAGGCAGAGGGGTCAGGCTCTGGGTGGCTGCAGGCCTGGGCCTGGCCGACCGGCTGATGCACTCACCGCCCCCCAGCAGCACTCGGGGCTGCAGCCCCCGGTCTCTCCAGGCCCTTGGGGGCCCTGGGCAAGAGTGAGCTGGGCCCTCACGGTGCTACCCTGGCCACTGAAAAAGCAGAGAGGGATTCCCAAGGGCCGGGCAGTGGGTGCGGCAGTGACTGGATGCAGCTGCCGCCCTCGGGCACCATCACACACAGCAGCTGTGGCCTTTCATGCCGCCGTGGCTCCGGTATAAAGGCGGGGGTGGTGGGTGAGGGCGGACCTCGGGGGCAAGTCTCCCTTGCGAGACACACATTCACAGGATGTTTTTAGAAGCCCAGACCCTGCTTGCTGGTCAACTGACTTCCCATTCATTCACTCATTACCAAGTGTTCACAACACGCTAGGCTCTAGGAATGAAGATGGGTTTCCCTGGTGGCTCAGTGGGAAAGAATCCGCCTGCCAACAGGAGACATGGGTTCGATCCCTGGGTTGGGAACATCCCCTGGAGAAGGAAAGAGCAACCCACTCCAGTATTCTTGCCTGGAAAATTCCATGGACAGAGGAGCCTGGCGGGCTACAGGNTCCAGTATTCTTGCCTGGAAAATTCCATGGACAGAGGAGCCTGGCGGGCTACAGTCCATGGGGTCACAGAGTCAGACATGACTGAGTGACTGAGCAAGCTCACACTTACACACACACACACACACACACAGGAATGAAGATATCAGAAGGCAGGTTCCTGCTCCAAGGAAAGCACAGCTTAACAGGAGGAACAGAAGACAAGGATTTACCACAACAAAGTCTGGTGGGCCAGGATTGATGGAGGATTCCTGAGCTTGATGTGAACTGGGGCCATCAGAGAAGGCTTCCTGGAGAAAGTGACCCTTCACTTGAGCCATGCAAGATGAGTAGGAGTTGGCTAGTGCAGAGTGAGGCTGGGAGAATGGGCATTTCAACCACAGGACCACCCAGAGGGCAGGGGGCTGGGTGGTTGGAGTCATGCTAGGGGAGGCCAGGAGTTGCCCAGCGTGGGTCTAGAGCAAACCACAGCTTGCTGGCCAAGTCTGGCCACTATTTGTCTAGCATCTCTGCTCCTAACACAGGGTCAGGCACCCTGCTCAGTGTCTCTGTCATTGCCTGGCGGGGGCACCTGTAGGGTGTCTGACCTCTGAGGTCTGACCTTGGGTTCAAACCCTGGCTCTGCACTTCCTTGCTCTGTGACCTTAGCATATCTAGTCTCTCTGTGCCTCAGTTTCCTCATCTGCAAAATGGAAACACAACAGCATCCACCTCACGGCATGCCTGGGGTGCGGAAAGTACTCAGCAGATAATTATAGAAGAAGCAGATCCATTTAGGTGATGTTTCTAGATGAGCGTACTTGCCCCTCTGAGACACCTCCTGGAATGAACTCATTCTGAACTGGATCGCTCCCCTCCCGGCCCTTGTGAGCAGAATACACAAACGGTCACTTAGACTTTTCGGAACAACCTGAGTCATCGCCATGACTGTGGCTAACTGTGCCCTGGGTCTGAGTCCCAGCCCGGGCACTGAAGGGTGTGTGAGTCCTTCACCAGGCGATCCTGGGTGGCCACTCCTTCTGAGGTTTTCTTGACTTTTTTTCTGCCTCCTCTTTTGACATCCGCTTGAAACTCCTGTTATGTTAAAGTATTTGCTCCTGGTCGCATAGGCAGCGCTACCTCCTAGTCACTGGTCACTTGGTTCTTCTATGAAACCAGGTGAGAATAGTTGTTAAAATTGTGTCTAAACTCAAAGTCAACAGGCCTTAAGTGGAACCAAGAGTCCTTTTCCCCGAGTGGAGTAAGCATGCTTTAGTCCTGCCTATTGGGTTTCCCAGGTGTCTCAGGGGTAAACAATTTACCTGCCAATGCAGGAGAAGCAGGTTTGATCCCTGCAGATTTTACTGGAGAAAGAAATGGCACTCCACTCCAGCATTTCTGCCTGGAGAATCCCATGGACAGAAGAGCCTGGTGGGTTGCAGTCCATGGGGTCGCAAAGAGTCGGACATGACTGAGCACGCACGCATCTGGCCTATTGCTGCCTGCTTGCTAGGTTGCCTCCGTGCTGGCAGGGCAGGTGAGGGTGCCGTAAGGGTGGGATCTATCACCTCGCCTGTAACAACTAAGAGCCACAGGCCCAGGCTTCTCCAGGCTTTTGCAGTTACAGCCTTTAAAGCGCTTGGCTTTGCAAGACAGTAAATCAGCCTACTGTTCTGTTCAGCCCTAACATGCGGCTTGTGCCTCCGGAGGGCAGGGACCACACCTCTGACACCAGCAATGAGCAGATGTTCAATTCACAAGGCTGGTCTATCCAAACCAACTCGTTTGCCGGCTGCTCACTCAAGCAGAGACGTGGTGTGATGCTCGTGTATTAAAACACACAGTTCCAACACAGCATTGTGAAGCAATTATCCTCCAGTTAAAAGAAAAGAACAGCAACCACAAAATCCACACAGTTCACAATCTCTGCCCAGTTCCTCATCCCAGAGAAGGACAAAGCAGCAGGCAGAGCCCCCAATGGGAAATTCAGCTCCAGGAAGGGAGAGGGGTCCCTTCCACTAGATTTACAGACACCTGTGTTTAAGGAGGGGCCTGACACCGCTCAATAAAACCGACAGCTGATATCACTGCCTGGGAGGGAACAGCAAGCCCAGTGCTGCCCCAGGACAGGATTGGTGGATTTCTTCAGATGCCAATGCAAGTTGTAGAAGAAATAATAGTTTAGAAATAGAAGCTCAGTCGCCATTTTTAGAGACTTGCTGGTGGTGGAGCGCTCAGAGAGCTCTTTATTTCCTATTTCCTATTTGGAGAATTGAGGCTCAGAGAGGGGAGGTGATCTGGCTAGAGTGACATAGGAAAGCTGGATACAGAATCCAGGCCTCTTCACTTCCATCCTGATCGCTCCTTCCTGCCTTAAAGCCTAGTGGCTTCCAATATTTTCTGTCTGCTACTTTGTTAAGCTGAACTCTTGAGAGGATGGGACAGAAAAACAAAAGAGGGATAAACAGAATTGCTCCTGGGGCACATGGAGGGCTGGTCTGCCACCCGAGAGGGACCTCTGAGTTAAAAGGTCCCCTGGGCTTGTGGCAGGTGAAGCGGGTCCTGAGGACAGGTGAAGGTGCCTGTCCATGTGGGCCACAGGGTCCTGCCCTCCAGCCACTCAAATCACACGTCCTGGCTAAAGTTTACATCCTTGGATAAATTATGAGGCTTGGTCACTAATGGGCCTCTGAGAGTTGTCACCCGCTTGTTGATAATTATAGAGCTTTAATGGGGCTAATTCAGAGAAAATCAAGCTCAGCTCCTGTCAGTTCCTCTAAGGCAGAACATCCCTCTGCTTGGCTGATGGAGACTGACAGCATCATTTTGACCTTGGTTCGCACCTGGACGTTCCTCATCCATACACCCTTGGGAATAGGAAATTGGCCCTGATTTTGTTTCTCTTTTTAAGAAAAATGTCATCCTCTCAAATAGTTAAAAAAAAAAAAAAAAAACCATGGCAAGAACCACAGAAAATGATCAAGTCTGAGTTGAAAGGATTTCCTAGTTGGGGAAATTGAGGCACTGACCAGACCATACACCCTTGGGAATAGGAAATTGGCCCTGATTTTGTTTCTCTTTTTAAGAAAAATGTCATCCTCTCAAATAGTTAAAAAAAAAAAAAAAAACCATGGCAAGAACCACAGAAAATGATCAAGTCTGAGTTGAAAGGATTTCCTAGTTGGGGAAATTGAGGCACTGACCAGATGCTGCAGGGGGAACAAAGAGGAATGAGCCACACATCTTATGGTCCTGCTTACCAGGTGCTCAAGGTAGAGGGCGAGGACTTTTATAAACCTACTCATGAGCTTCCCTGGTGGTTCAGTAGTTAGGAATCCGCCTGCCAATGCAGGGGACATGGGTTCAACCCCTGGTCCGGGAAGATCCCACATGCCGTAGGGCAACTTAGCCCGTGTGCCACAACTACTGAAGCCTGTGCACCAAGAGCCCGTGCTCCGTGCAACAAGAGATGCCTCCACAATGAGAAGCCTGTGCACCGCAACTAGAGAGTAACCCCCACTCACCGCAACTAGAGAAAGCCTGCCTGCAGCGACAAAGACCCAGCACAGCCAAAAATAAATAAATAAATAAATAAACAGTTTAAATTGCCACCCCCTCCCAAAATATAAACCTATTCATTCCCCTACTTTACATGGTTCAAAGGTTTTCCACTGCCTCCTGGACTCTGTCAACCTCCCTGGTGTGGCATTCAGGCCCTCTGTGATATGACCACTTGGGCTTCATCATCCTCTTTTCCCTTTGCTCCAGCCACTGGACTCTTCCTCCTTTCACTTGGTCAGCCTGGGTTCTGCCTCCTCCCGCTGCACCCTCTTTGTGGGAGAGCTCCGTGCAAGCCAGCGCTTCCCATCTGGGCTCCTGACTCGTCACTGCTGGGTTATTTGTGTGTCTGTTTCCATGAACTCCCTGGTGGCAGAGATCGCGTCTCAGGCACTCTGCAACCTCCGTGCTCGGCACAGTGCCAGACACCTAGTTGGTCCCGAAAGGCTGAGTGTGTGGAAATATGGCCCAGGGAGAATATGACAGGGCCCTAAAGAAGGGGAATCAGCAAGTGGGGACAGGGAAATGATTCCAGCTGAGGGCCTTCTGGGCCAGCCTAACAGTGGTTCCTCTGCTCCATCCTTGCTCCAGGCCTCTGTGGGCATCAGTCCTGACTCAGCCCCGGATGAATCATGTAGGGGCCAGTGTAAGCGCGGCCTTGAGATGCGACTCTGGCCCGAGAGACAAAAGGACAGATTTCCGGGGGAGAGGTTTCCTCACTTTTAAACTGAGACATGGGAGTGGAAGCTCATCAAATTTAGGATCTTACTGTTATATGAGGCGGGGGTCAGCCTAAGAGGAAAACGTGGGACTTTTCTGGTGGCTCAGAATCCACCGGCCAGAGTAGGAGCCAGGGGTTTGATCCCTGATCCGGGAAGATCCCACAAGCCTTAGAGTAACAAAGCCCTTGCACCACAGCTATTGAGCCTGTGCTCTAGAGTCCAGGAGCAGTAACTACTGAAGCCAGTGCACCCTGGAGTCTGCGCCCCACAATAAGAGAAGTCACAGCAATGAGAAATCTATCTACTGCAACTAGAGAGTAGCCCCCACTTGCCAAAACCAGAGCCCATGCAGCAGCGAAGACTCAGCACAGCCAAAAAATAAATAAAATTTAAAAAAAAAAAAGAGGAAGAGGACGTGGCCAAGCGGAGAAAGACAGAACCACTGCCACTGGTGCTGCTGCTGAGTGGTGGCGTGGATCTGCCCCGGTCCCACACGACCTCAACAGTCCTCACTGTTGAAGGCACTCTGAATTTTCCGTTACCTAGAAACCCCAAAGCATTCTAGTCATTACGGCTTTGAAGGATGGACTGAGTTTCTACAGGTGGAGACTGGGTGGGAGGGCATCGTAGGAAAAAAAAAAAAAGAGGAAGAGGACGTGGCCAAGTGGAGAAAGACAGAACCACTGCCACTGGTGCTGCTGCTGAGTGGTGGCGTGGGTCTGCCCCGGTCCCACACGACCTCAACAGTCCTCACTGTTGAAGGCACTCTGAATTTTACGTTACCTAGAAACCCCAAAGCATTCTAGTCATTACGGCTTTGAAGGATGGACTGAGTTTCTACAGGTGGAGACTGGGTGGGAGGGCATCGTAGGCAGGGGAGTAGCAAGTGTGGAGGTGGGGGGGGGGGCACAGGGCCATTGGAAGGGCAGCAAGCAGCGGGGTCCAGCTTAGCCAGGCCACCCTGTGGGTCACCGGGAGGGCGTGGGCACAAGGGGCACCTCTGACGGTAACATTTCTGCATCTTCACCCTGTTAACGCTCCTCTATTAGATCAGTTGGGAGCCTGTCAGTTTTGTGCTTGTGCCTTGCAGTGACTTAATCAAGGATGGGCTTTAAAGAGAAGGGGAAAAAAGGCTGAATAAGTAAACAGTACTTCACTCCTGGCCTTAGACGACAGAGCAACCGTCCTAATTTCTTTTTGTTAGAACGGAGATAATCCAATAATTAGGGCAGCAGATAGCATAACCCTGGCTAAAGCCGTAATGAACCATCTGGCTTGAATCATTTAGGCTTATTGTAGGGATCTGGTTGTCAGAGCTGAGAGGGAGGTGAGGCCTGGGCTACTGAGTGGAGAATACCAGGTTCCACCCTAGAACCTGGTCCCCCTCACCTCGGAACCCAGATATTTCCGCTCTCAAGGTGGGATGCTGGGCCACTGATGGGGTCTAAGCCTGGGGCGGCGGCCCCTTAAAGGGAATGAGGGGGCTCAAGCTGGCCCTGGCTCGGTCACACACCCTTCTCCCTGGCTCTCTGCAGCAGAGTGCCCTGGTGACATGGGTGTGGCCAGCCCACGGGTTCAGGCTGGCAAGGCTGTGTCTGACTGCCCCACACTGCTGACCCCAAGTGCGTCTGACTCCTGCTAGGACAATGAGCTCTGAGTCTGGAGCCACAGCCCTGTTCCCTCTCTGCTTCAAAGACAGTGCTCTGTGAAGGACTGCTGAGTTGATGGACTGAAGATGGGGCAACTGGCCCGTGTCTTGCACTTTCTGGTCCCCTCCTTGCCTGTGGGTTCAGGGACAGCTGAAAGAAACAGCCTGATTTCTCATCTCTTAGCTGTATGTCTCCGGAGGGCCCGGGTGGCACCAGGAGAGCCTGAAGCTGGGGTGGAAGCCCTGCCTTGCTCGCCTGCTCCCCTGGCATAGCAGGAAAGATGCTGGAAATGGGAACAAGTGCCCCACCCCTTCTTCTGGACCCAGGGAAGATTCAGGGCATGCAAAGGGGTGACTTGGGTCTCCGCCTGCCCAGAGGCACAGCAAGTGAGGGGGTGCACCTGGCCCAGGGTGCCAGGAGCTGGGGATGAGGAAGATCCAGGGCACAGCCCAGAGGGCAATAAACTCTCCCGACCCAGTTTCCCCAGGCTGGCAGGAAAATGGAGGGAGAGGACTGCTCCCCATTCCCATGCCAGGCTCTGGCCAGAGGGCTGTGGTCCAGGCCCAAGAGCACGCAGAGCCGGCAGCTTCCCAGCACAGGCCCGGCTCCGACCCACCCGACCCAGGGCTGGCAGGCCTCCCTGCTCCTCTCTCCTCCCTGGCCTCGCCAGGTAGGGTGATGACAGGTCTGGCCCCACCGCGTCCCGCCGAGGTGCTGGTAACCCCCACTGTCAGCTTGCAGAGGCACATTTTATGTTGGGGAAACTCCAGACCCCCAGCCTGAGGCCCATGTGGGCACCCGAGCCAGGCGCAGCCGCCCTCGCTGCGCTGCGTGGGGGATGGGACCGGGCGAGCCTCGGCGAAGCGGGCAGCGACCCCTGCCCCGAGAAAAGTCCACACCTTCCGCAGGACCGACGTTGGACTCGGGTTTTCTAGCTCTGAGAGTGACGCGGCAGGGGCCACAGCCGGGCAGGGGCCTGGCGAGCAACGCTGCCCCCGGCCCCGGCCCCAGCCCGCGTAAATCCATCCTGCACCGCACCGCGACCTCGGCGTTCTCGGTTTCCCCTCCAGTCCCGGGGAGGGCGGGGCGGCCACCCTCGGAGCCCAGAAAGACGCCAGGAGCACCAGCCGGCCGGGCCTCGGCCCCGGGGGCCCCGGAGCTTGCCTATTCCCTGGGGCTCGGGGCTCATGCCCGCAGGAGGAGGCTGGGGTGGGGGTGGGGGTGGAGGCCCTTACTGGCCCGGGAAGCGGGTGTAACAGGTGGGCGAAGGTCGCCGGCCGGGTCGAGCGCAGCTGGACCAAAGAACGTGGGAGGAGGAACCACCAAGGGTTTTCCAAAGGACAAGCGGGCCCCATGGTCCCCTGGTCCTCGGCCCGTGCGCCAGTCAAGCCGCCGCGCTCTGCGGCCGCCGGGCCCACCCGGGAGGCCGCCCGACTCCGGCCCGTGGGTCTCTCCGCCTCTCGCCCAGCCCGACCCTCGGCTGCGGGGCCGATCCGCCGCGTGCTGCGGGGCAGGGAGCGATCGCGCGGCCGGCAGCAACTGGTGTCTCCCCGGGGCGCAGCTCCGCCCTGCCAGGGAACAAAAGCTGCCGCCCGCGCTGGGGCTCCCGGCGGGCGGGCCGAGAGGGGGCGCGGCGCGGGCTCCGGGGAGACGGCCGCTGGAAATGGGACACCCCCAGGGGGCGCCCCCAAACTTCCCACCTCTCGGACCTGCTCGAGGGAGGGGTTATGTGTGCTGGGCGCGCGGAGAGCGCACGGCGCGGCCGGGGACTGCCACCAGGTGGGGGGGTGTGTGTGTGTGCCGGAGGAACCGAGACCGCAGGGGAGCCGAGGGCGGGCGCGCGAGCAGCCGCGCAGGGGAGGGGGCGAGAAGCTGGCGGGTGGGAAACTTACTGCAGTCGTCGGACTCGTAGCCGTCGGCGTCCGGCTCGTCCTCGGGTGGCTTGGCGGGCGGCCGCCCCGGGCTGGGGACTGGGCCGGGGCCGGGGCTGGCGCCATAGGCTCCAAAGAGCTGATCGACATCCTCGTCGTCGTCGCGGGCGCCGTCGGAGGGGCTAGGGGCGGGCCCAGCCCGCGTCACCGGCAGCCGCCGATCAGTGCGAGTGTGCGGGCGGCGCGAGCGGAGCGATCCGAGCGGCGCCGCACTCACTGGCACTCACACCGGCGTGCACGCCGGCCCGGGACCCTGCGCGCGCACTCGGCGGGCAGGGCCACTCGGCGCCTTCCACTCACGCGGCGCAGGACGGGCGCGGAGCTGAGCAGGGACCCGCAGGACGCACACCCGCACTTTCCCGCGCGTGCCCGCACTTCCTGGGCTCCGTTCACACAGGACACACGCCGGTGGGCAAGGACACTTCCAGCGCACAGAAACGTGTGCAGAACTGGGCGGAAGCGCCGACTGCTCACATCTGCAGAACACACGTACCCATAGAGAGTTGGTTGAGGCTACTGTGGCACTGTACAACCCCTCAAAACACACACATCCCTAACAGCATTCGTGGAGGCGGTCAGGGGACTCAGGGCACCCCTGTCCACAGCACACCTAACAGGATATACAAACACGCCCCCAAAGTGATCAGGGGACCCAGGGCACCTCCCAGCCCCCAGCCTAGCGGGACACATAGCTTCACTCCTAGGAGTGCCAGACAGGATGCTCTCACACTAGCAAGACATCCACAGCTGTCCAAGGTCACCGATGGCACAGTCTGTTCACCCTTCCTCTCAGGTCACACACAAGCACACTCCTTCTAACCAGGAGTCAGCCTCTCACTTGGTCAGTGAGTAGCTCGAAGGACAGGGTGTGTGAGGACCTTGACCACAAGAGGTGATCAGGAGAGGATGAGGGCAGGCAGGGGCCTGGGCATCCCCAGGGCATGATGAAGGAGGCAGAGGCGGAGAGGCAGGATGTGGCTGGCCACCGGGCCTCAGGCTTCCCATACGGTCAGAAAACCAAACAAACGCCCAGCCCTGGCTCTGTTCTGATTTCCTGAGAATTCAGTTCTGTTGGGAATGGCTGCTGCTTATACAGGTGTGTCCCCAGAAAGCCCTGGTCATAGACAGAATCCTGTTTACTCTCTCTGATTTCCATTGACATCAGAGACGCTTATCTTCTTGTCTGGGTCCCTTCCAGAAAGACTAAATGAGGGATCTCAAGCCTGTGCCCCGGCCCCCACCATAATTCCTGTGGCGGTGTGGGGAGAAGAGAGAGGCAGCCTCACCATCAATTTCAGCTGCATCATTCTGGCACATCATTAGCTCTCACTGAACCTCAGTTTTCTCAGCTGTGAAAGGGGGCTAATTCCAACTGCTCGGCATTCTGGGAAGGCTGCATCTGGCGAAGAGCATGGCAGATAAGAGATGCTCACCAGGTGTCAGCTTTCTCTTCACCCTTCCCTTGGGAGATGACACTCGCTGCTGACACACGTGATGGAGATCCATGAGTTATTTCGTGGCGAGTTCTGAACTGGATGGGGAAGGTCCCCACCCACCCTGGAAACCTATGGTGTGCTCTGTCGAGAGCTTTCACAGCTGTCAGCTTACTGGTTCCTTCTGTCACCCACCAAGCAGGCAGAGTACAATGTTCCCACTTTGCAGGGGAGGAAATTTAAGCTCAGATGTGACTTGCCTGGGTGATCTCTGGCTGGTGGCAGAGCTGGGCTCAGTCCTAACTTTTTTTGAGACTTCCATGGCCCCCACCCCTGCCTCTCCCTTCTCACCCCTACAGAGAAGAGCTGGAAACAGAGGTGAAACCTGGCTCCCGGGAGCTCTTCCTGTGGCTTCTTGGATGGGGACTGCCCAAATTGAGAAGGAAGGGGAGGGAAAGAGAGAGGTGGCCGAGAATCTTAGGGGTTGCAGTGGGAATGAGCCAGCCTGGGGGCTCCTTAAAGACAATCTGGGATCTTGGTGGGAGAAAAATTCGGCCCTCCAAGAATCAAAGGCCAAGGGAAGGACAGGAGAGCCCGGAAGCCTAACACAGTGAGTGGGTTTCTCATTTCCGGGAATGCTTAAGGGGATTAGTCCTTAAATAGGCACAGAGTGACTTCTGTGCCAGAGGTGGCTGCATCACTAAGTGATTATGTAATGACACGGGGTATTCAAGTACAGACATGGAACCATCATTCTGTAATTCATTCACTCGAGGAGCACGAGAGTGCAGTCTTCATCTTACAGATGGGGACGCTGAGGCTTCAGGAAGTCGAGTGACTGGGAATAAGAGCCTGGATATCCTGACCTCTGACCCTGTGCCCTTTTGATGGCCAGGATCTACCTGTGTGTTCACTGGGAGTGGGGAGAGAGTGGGGCTGACCCCTTCTTCCTGGCCTCTTGACTTTCTGTGCATCTGGCTTTCTGGAGGTTCAGCCCCTGGTTCTTGGCTCTGTGGCTGCTGGCTCTGGGGAGAGTCTGCAAGAAGTGGGAGTGGAGGGCCCAGGCTCCAAAGCATCCAGTCAGCGAATGCCAGGATACCCGCAGGAGAAACACTGGCGTATTTGGGGCTAGCCTTTGGCAGGTGGCAGAATCGAGCGCCACTCTGAAGTCTGAATTCACCCAGCTGCCATGGGGTAGGGCCCCCTGGAGGGAGCCCTACTTAGGAGGGAGCAGAACTGGTGTTATCCAGGCAGGTGTCTAGTTTCTAGAAAGAGTCTGGGCAGGGGAGATAGGCAGATGGATTCAAAAGCAGTGCCTGAGACTTCCCTGGTGGTCCAGTGGTTAGGAATCCGCCTGCCAATGAAGGGGACGTGGGTTCCATCCCTTGTCTGGGAAGATTCTGCTAAGCCCGTGTGCCACAACTACTGAGCCTGCACTCCGTAACAACAGAAGCCACGGCATGAGGAGACCACGCACCGCAAGGAAGAGTACTCCCTACTCGCCACAACTAGAGAAAGCCCACATGTGGCAACAAAGACCCAGCACGACAAAAAATAAACAAAAGCATCCTCCTGATTGTGTCTAATTTGGGGCAAGTTAGGGGGAACAACCTTGTGAGAAATGAAGGTGGGGCTGCAGATAAAGCACTTAGCATGTAAGAGGCACTCAGAACATTGTCATTCTCTTCCCCCTGCCTTCCTGGTGCAAACCATAGTTGGATGTGCCTGCCTCAGTCTCTCTACCAGTGAAATGCAGTTGGCTGCCCTCTTTTCCAGTCTGCTGCCAGGACGAGATGAGGACGCTGGGAAAGTACATTGAAAAGTGCAGGTACTTGGTAAGGTTGGGGCGCCGGCTGGCGTGTATGGGGATCTTTAAACAGCTGGATGTGTCCAGACCCCATCAATCAGGTTGCCTTCCACTCCCCACGAAGGCAGGCAACTGGACTTGTCCTTGGCAAAGTGAAGTGGGCAGAGTCACAGCCCTCAGGAATCCTGTACTCTTTTTTTTTTTTTTGCCACACTGTGTGGCATGCTAAATCTTAGTTCCCTGACCAGGGATCACACCTGGGCCCCCTGCAGTGGAAGTGCGGAGCCTTAAACACTGGACCACCAGGGAAGTCCATGGAATCGTGTACTCCTGATTCTCCGCCACCTGCTTCTCCCAACAGGCTTCTGAGCTGCCCCCTCCCCTCTCTAACAGACTACAAAGGCCCCGGTCCAACTAGGTAGAAGTGGGTTCCTCAAAGGATGGATGCAGGGTAACTGCATCCCTGGGATGCTTGTTAATAATACAGATTCCTGGCCCTTGCCTCACACCCATGGACTCAGATATGTGTGCAAAGACTCAGGATGAGTTTGAATAAGCACCCCTGGGTTATTTTTATGCACAATTATTTGTATGAGAATCGCTGGGTTAGAAGGTGCAGATGCTTTAATATTCTCACCTGTTTGCTGTCCCTGCACTGTTCAATCTGCCACTCTTGTCAGGGAGGGTTGGAATTTCGTGAGCACTCTGTCAAAGCCCCAATGTTGTTGCTATTTAGTCACTAAGTCGTGTCCGACTCTTTTGCAACTCCATGGACTATAGCCCGCCAGGCTCCTCTGTCCGTGGGATTTCCCAGGTAAGCATCCTGGAGTGGGTTGCCATTTCCTTCTCTAAAAGTCCCAATAGGGAGCCTGAAAATCCCACATCAGGCACTATGACTTCTTTCCTGGCTGAGAATGAACAATTAAAGCCTTTCCTTCCAGTAGGTGAGAGGCATTTGGAGGCAATGACCTCTACCCTGCACTTGGCTGGACGTCCTAGGTTGGCGTCTCTGCCTGGCATCGCTGTGCCCTGCGAGGAAGGGCCCTTCCTGCCCCTGGCCTCACTGTACCCCAGTCTCCCCCTTCCCTGATCACTAAAGGAGCTCTGGGCATGCTGTGCTGATAGAAACTTGTCTGAATTGATAGGAGATTTTAACACAAAGGAGAAGCTGATGGAGCATTTCCAAGCACTTCCTGTTTGATGGAGAGGGGCCTTCCAGGGGTCCTTGTCCATTCATTTCTTTAGGAATCTGCACTTTAACAAATATTTATTGCACACCTACCCTATGACAAGCCCCAGGCTGCTTTCTGCAGTGGCCCAGCCAGTGAACGAGGCTCCACTTTTCTTGAGATTCCAGAGGACAGAGAGTGAATCAGGAAGGGACGTGGGAGCCGTCCGCTGTCCCTGGCCTCCTCCTCAGCCCCCACTGGGGCCTCAGCCTGGGAATCGTGTGGAAAGCCAGCACAGTCAATTGATGGAAGCCACTGCCATAGAGCTGGTGGCTGCTGTGAGGCCAACTGGATGTATTAGGCAGTATTAAAAATGCAGCTCTTTCTGATAATTTATTATTCACATTTCATAAACACATTATAGTCGTCACAGTACATTTACTAGCCCTGGGCCTGCCAGTGGGAAAAAGTTAACACTTACCTAATGATGTTATTTTGCAGATGTCAAATGCTCTTGGAGCTGTCATGATGGGCTAAATGGCTCAAAGAGATGCTTGTCTCCTCTCCCTCCTGGGACACCTGTTCAGTGGTTTGCAGACCACAGGTCTGTGAGCACCATCCCCCGCCACTCCACCCACTTCCTGAGCCTAGAGATGGAGGACCTGGCTCAAGGTCACCCCAGGCCAACCCAGGACTCACCCCCAGGGGCTGAGCGGAGGGACTACGGCTCTCTGCTCGGTTCCATGCAGGCTGCAGTCTGGGCTGCGGGACTCAGAAGAGGCCAAGGTGAGACAGGCTCGCCTGGTAGGAGGGGCTTAGCCCAGGATCAGCCTGCCTCTGCCCGGAGATCAGAAGTCAGGGAGGGATAATGCTGAATCCGTAGGGGAAGATCCAGAAATAACCTGCAGGAGGACGGGGGTGAGGTGGAGTGTAACCTGTGACTCAGGTGACAGCAAAGACGAGGCGGTGTCACTGGCCCCCACCCTGTGAGGCCTGGGGACCTCTGGAGCCCAGGGGCTTGTTCGAGTGTCTTCTGGAGTGGGCGGAACATTTCAGTGATATGAATGGGCAGGAGCTGTAACTGACAGTTGTGAAACTGAGAGCCAACAGCCACAAATGTTCCCTCAAATAGCTCTAAATTATGATGCGGTTTAGAAGATACTAACGATGCAAATGGTGGCTTCCAATTTTAACTCATTCTACTCTTTTAGATTTATAAAATATTTCAGTCATACAGAAAAGGCCTAGAGTATTACATAAAGACCCACCGGCCTATAAACAAAAACCTTGCAGGTTTCTTGAAAAGCTAAACAGAGAACTACCATATGACCTAGCAATTCCACTCCTAGGTATGGGCCCAAAAGGACTGAAAGCAGAGTCTCCAGTAGATACTCGCACGCTAATGCTCATTGCAGCATCATTCACAGCAGCCAAAAGGGAGACAACCCCCATTTCCATCCACAGATGAACAGAGATGGATGTGTGGCATATCCATACAATGGGATCTTAGTGAATCGCTCAGTCGTAAGTTTCCAATTCTTTGCAACACCACTGACTGCCGTGGAATTCTTCCCAACCCAGGGATCAAACCCAGGTCTCCCGCATTGCAGGCAGATTCTTTACCAACTGAACTATCAGGGAAGCCCTCAATGGGATCTTATTCAGCCCTAAAAATGAATGAGTTCTGATCTATGCTACAACCTGGATGAACTTTGAAAACATGTTAAGTGAAGTAAGAGAGACACAAGAGAGACACAAATATTGTAGGACTTTCCTTATAAGAAATGTGCAGAATAGGCAAATTTATAGAGACAGAAAGTAGGTTAGAGGTCACCAGGGTCTGGGATGAGGGAAAAAGGGAGCTTAAGGGGCAAGAGTTTCTGCTTTGGGTGATGAAGACGAAATTTAAGAAATAGAGACTGGTGATGATTGCACAATATTGTAATTAATGCCACTGAATGGTATAACTAAAAGTGATTAAAACAGCAAAATTTTGTATTATGTCTATCTCACCACCATTTAAAAAATTACAGATGCATTTGAAATCCCCTAATATTTCCTCCTTCATCCCATTGTTCTTCCCAGGGGCAGTCACTGTCTTGAATTTGATAATTAACAATCTATGCATTCACCTTTATGTTACTATGTATGCATCCATAAATAAGTGATATTGTCTTATACATCTTAAAGCTTCATATAAATGGCATCATACTGTACACATCCTCAATCAATTGCTTTTTTTCACTTACCATTGTTCATGAGATTTATTCCTGCTGATGCATGTAACTAGAATTTGTTTTCATTGTGGTATAATACACCAGCACAATTTATTTCTCCTTTTTCCTATCACTGGACATTTAGGATGATTCCCACACTTTATTATTCTGTATCTGTTGCCATGGATAGTCCTGTCTCCTGGCCCACATGGGAGAGTTTCTTTGCAACCTCCTGGAGACAGAATCGCTGGCCTGAAGGACATATGTATCTCTAGCTTGACCAGATAATGCCAAACAGTGGTTACAGCCTCACAGCGGTTACGACCACTTCCATTCCTATCAGCTGTGTCTGAGAGTTCCAGTTCTTCCACATCCATGTCAACACTTGATGTCACCTGACTTGAGTTTTTGCTGCTCTAATTGGTGTGAAAGGGCATTTCATGATGTTTAATTTGTTCTTCCTGATAGGTGCTGTTGCTTTTTTTTTCCACTAAAAGTGGGCATAAGTGGACAATAAATAAATGTAGCAAATTGAAAATCGAAGCATTTCTATTAAAGGGTAGGTTAAATGCAGTATGACTCACCTTTACAATGGAATATTATTATGTAACTGTTAAGGAAAAGGGGGCAACAGAAGATGAGATGGTTGGATGGCATCATCGACTCAATGCAATATGAGTTTGAGCAAATTCTGGAAGATGGTGAAGGACAGGGAAGCCTGGCCTGCTGCAGTTCATGGGGTCGAAAAGAGTGGACATGACTGAACAACTGTAACAAAAAAGACAAAGTGCTTCCCAGGTGGTGCAGTGGGAAAGAATCCGCCTGCCAGTGCAGGGGCTTCCCAGGTGGTGCAGTGGGAAAGAATCCGCCTGCCAGTGCAGGGGGCTTGAGGGTTCGATCCCTGGGTCGGGAAGATCCCCTGGAGGAGGAGATGGCAACCCACTCCAGTACTCTTGCCTGGGAAATTCCATGGACAGAGGAGCCTGGAGTGCTTCCGTTGCTGGGCTTGCAAAGAGACAAACACGACTGAGCACANGAGCACACACAAAGGACAAGGCTGCTCTGTGTGCACCAATATGGAAGATATATTGATATCCTGATGCACTAAAAATCATTTCACTGCAGATATATTGTTTAATAAAAAAGAGGCATAAAACAGTATGTTCCCTTTGTATATAAATAAAAAGATATATATACATGCGAGTATTTATATAAGCATGAGATTCCTCTGAAAGAATAAACAGGAAATAGATAAAAATAAGTCATCTGTGAAGGGAACTGGGGGTCAGGGAAATTTTTATGCTCTATGCATTTATACTGCATACATGAAAAACAGAAATTCATAGAGACAGAAGGTAGACTAGAAATTACCAGGGGCTTGGGGATGGAGCCTGGGGGGTATTATTTAATGAGTAAAATTTCTCTTTGGGATGATGAAAAAGGTCTGAGAAAGCATAGTGGTGATGGTTGTACAACATTGTGAATGCACTTAACCCACTGAAATATATGCTTAAAAATGGTTAAAGTGGCAAGTTTTATACGTTATCTATATTTTACTACTATAAAAGAGTAGGAAAAGAATAAGCCTATGTTGAAAACAAATTTAATTTTATCCTTTAAAAATAATAATTATTTAAAACTTTGCTGCTTTCTGAATTTCTGGCCCCTGAAAGATAAATCTTAATTCTGGCTCCACAGTGGGGATGGTGGGAGCTGGGAGCCTGGGTCCAGAGGGCAGGGGTCTTCATCAGAGGGGAACTGTGAGTCCCAGAGTCCCCTGAGAGGCAGAGATGCCAGCTCCTGAGGCCTCACCTTGACCGATTGAGGCCACCTCACTCCCCACCAAGACTCAGGTCCCGTCGACCTGGTGACCTGGGTGTCTCCTGAAGCTCTGAGGTTCCTCAGTCCCACGCATCCTTCTATTGCTTCTCTCTCAGCCCTCTCCCTAGGGCTCACAGATCCCTGCCTCTCTGTAAACATGACCTCTGATGACCTGGGACTCTCCCACCATGCTGCCCAGCTTGGCCCTCCTCTGTCCCTTGCCAGTGGAGTCCCCCAAATCCCGGTGATGCTCCACCAACAGGCCGTGCTCCAGCCCTCGCCGGCACACCCACCATCCGCTCCGCGTCATTCTCACGGCTCCTGATGCCTTAGCCCACCAACACAACAGCCCTGGCCTGTATCCCTTCCCCAGCAACCACCTTCCCAAAGGCTTCATGTCAGCCACCACTGTCCATGGCCACACTCTGGGCCCTGCGGCCGTGCCACATCCGCGGTCACACTGCAGGCCAGGCTGGGTGGGGGGATCAGACACCAGAGAAGGAAGACTTAGGGCAGCACCCTACGAGCTCCCCTACTGCTGACACTCATCTGCTAGTCCCTGCATCTCCACCTGCCCTGGACCCTCTGAGGGTCCCAAGGCCCCAGCAAAAGCCCAAAACACAGCCAGACAGGTGTCACCCCCTTACCTGGCATTCTCCAACCTCCATTATTTAGGAACCAGCTTCTCAACTGGGACCTGTGTTATTATTTACTTTAAATCAACTTGCAGGGACTTCTCTGGTGGTCCAGTGGTTGGGAACCTGCCTGCTAAAGCAAGGGACACAGGGTTGATCCGTGGTCAGGGAAGACTCCACATGCCCGTGGAGCCCATTTGCCACAATTACCGAGTCCACGAGCCGCAACTACTGAAACCCACGCTGTACAGCCAATGCTCCACAACAAGAGAAGCCACCACAATGAGAAGCCCGTGTATCCTAACAGACTAGCCCCCTCTTGCCCCAACTAGGGAAAGCCCTCATGCGCCAATGAAGATCCAGTGCAACCAAAAATAAATTACATAAATAAATCAACTTGCATTAAAAACGCTTTAAAAACCCAGATTAGCTTTGTCGTAACCATAATCACTGTGATGGGAACTGATGTGCTGGTTATATTTCTCTGTTGCATATTGAAATAAACATAATTATTACAATAAAATCATTTTCATTAAGTAAATGAGGTTAAGTTAATTGTTCAGAGTCTCATAACCAGAAAGAAGCTCACTAACACTTGAGCCCAGGCTGTTTGGCTCCATGTGTTCAGCCCTGTCACCCCTCAGGCTGTGAATTTACTGTTCCCCCAATCCCCACAAAGAGGCCAAGTTTGCTGCACACGTTGACGCTGAAGATGGCAGAACTCGGCTCTGTGCAGGTGTGTTGGGGGCTGGAGCTTGGCTGAGGTTAGCCTGGCATTGCCAGCTCTGGGCTAGTTCACACCTCACAAGGCACCGACCGGCCCAGGAGGCCACACTCCCCCAAGGGACACCTCCTCCTCCTCAGAGAGCCCAGCATCTGAGTCAGGTTAACAGCGAGGCAGACCCGTCTCCCCTGCTCCACGGCTGGGTCGTGAGCCCCCAGCTGTGGGTCCTTAGCGACCAACCAGTACAGGATGCAAGGCCTGGACCTCAGTCCTGAAACATGAAGACGGCTGAGAGTTAGGTCAGCAGAGCGGTGGAGGAAGGAGGAAGGGGTCCAGGCAGAATGGCTGGTGGCTGAGCCGGCTGGAACTTGGGTGCGAAGCCTCCTCCAGGGCCGGGGGGGAGGCCCCCACAGCCTGGGGGCTCCTCACCTGCAGACGCCCCTGCCTCCTGGGTGAGTATGTGAGCACCTGCGTTTAGAGTCAGACTCCCAGGCAGCGAAGGGTGCTCACAGCTCATCCAGCCTCCCGTCCCGCTGCCAGCCTGGTGCCCAAACACACCATCTGCTGCCGGGCAGCTCTCTCTCCGCCTGTCGCCCTCACCTCCCCGCCTCCAGGCGCGGCACACACCTGTGCTGCCCACACACTCAGGCGTGGCTCCTCCGAGCCCGTGTTCTTTCCGCGATGCCCCCTCGTGGCCGCGTCTGTGCCCATTCGAGCGCTCAGCTCACTCCTGTGTCTTTTGTTCCAGTTTCCTGAGGACCCGGAGGGATGGCTCTGTCTTTGTGGCCCTCAGCTGTGGGGTCACAGTTGACGAGCCCCCAGAGTCCCGCGGAGGTTCCTAGGACTCACCCCCCTGCGAGCCCAGCCTTCAGGCCCAGAGTGGGGCCTGGAATCACCCGTAGTTCTGGAGTTCTGAAGCTGGGGGTAGGCGGCCTTCCACAACACAGCCAGTCTTTGTTAACGTGGAAACCTGGGCCCAGAGAGGTGACCCCACCTGTCCAAGGTCACTCAGTAATGCTGAGGCAGAGCCTGAGGCTCTGTGCCTGCCTCTGTCTCGGGGACAAGGAGGGCGGTTCTACCCTCTCTGGCTATCTAGGGTCCTTTGGGTGCAACCTCTAGGTCAGGGCTTGAAGCGCATCCCAAATACGCCAGTGGGGATTTCCTGGGGCTGCTCCCCGGGTGGGTTCTGGTGGCCCTGACGACTGTACCATGACCCCTTCCCAGGCTTTGGCAGAGGGTACTTAGTCCTGAAGAGGAATCCATTTCCTCTCCTTCATCCTGCCCTCCCCTGCCCAGGCCCACTGATGCAAGCCTGGGTCTGCCTCAGGGCCTTTGCACTAGCCAGAAATGCCTCCAAAATACGCTTGTACCACATCATCTCGTAGTGGGGGCTCATGCTCACCTTTTAGATCTTAGCTCCAGGCCCTCTCCTCGAGAGGACTGACAACCTGAACAAGACAGTTCAGGTCCTGCTTCTTGTTCATCGTCTGTGAGCTCCCTGGAGGCAGGGACCCAGCACAGGGCATGGCCCACGGCGGGTGGGCACTCATTTCTCAGTGACTGAAGGGAAAAATGAAGTGCATTGGCAGCCAGGCCAACCAGAAACCCCCCGAGGCTGGGCTGTTGGGGAGAACCTTGGGGTTATAGGTGGAGCAGCTGCGGTAGGAGGGCGCTGAGGCCTTGCCAGCCGGCCTGGCCCCTCCCTGCCCGCACAAGCTCCCACCCTGGGCGGGCGGGGGCCTTGGAGACAGCCCCGTCCAGAGGGAGGCGGGAGGGAGCCTGGAGGGTCATCCATCAGCCAGAGACGTGGAGAGCCTGGTAAGTGAGGGACGCTGTCTGAGGCTCCTCCACCAACTGCCTGCCTGTGCTCTGGCTGTCTGGGAGCCCAGGAAGCAGGTGAAGGGAGCTGCTTCAAGCCCAGCTGCTCCTATGGGGACTGGGGACCGCCAAGGCAACGCCAGGGCCACCCTGATTGAGGAGGAAAGACAATGCCCCTCCACGTCCCTGTCCCCCAGGCACTTCAGTGTATGATCAAAATTACCTTATATAGCTTTCACCCCATCCTGCAAGGCAGGTCATTACTTCTTTGACTTATTTTGAATTTCAGTACACAAGGATGTAGGGGTTGACACAGCCAACCCCAAAACACACCCATCAAAATGAACATTTTCATCCTTTTTCTAGAGAGGTCTTTTTTTTAGCTTTAAAAATCTGAACTGTAACATAGAAAACTGCACAAAATATAAATGCACAGTGTAATGAATAGCCATAAAGCAAACACCAGCATAATCGCCACAATTTCATCACAGAAGTCATGAAGCAGGAAGTTATGACCTGCCCCCCACCAATCCATGATGTGTGTCTCTCATTCCCAGCTTCCCCTGCCCCCTACATACTCTGAGTTTTATGACACCAGTGCCTAGGTTTCCCGGTCATTTAAATATATAAATACAATAAAACATTACAGATAAAAATTTCCCTTCCTGATTTGCATCCACCCGGCGAGCAAGCATAATTATGATACATCATTCCAGGCTCTGTTTGATATTTTTACTATGCATACTTATATTAGAAAAATACTGTTTTATATAGCTTAGAACTTTTCACAAGTGGTATCAATACTGCCTGTATTATTCTGCAACTTGCTTTTCCACTCAACTCTAAATACTTTACCCCAAAATAGCTTTATTGAGGTATAATTTATACACTATAAAATTCCACTGTTTCTAGCATACGATTTAATGGTTTTGAGTAAATTTACAGAGTTGTGCAACCATCCACACAATCCAATTGTGGAACATATTTCCATTCCTCCAAGAAAGTCTGAAATGTTTTCTTGTTTTTTCTCTTTTTCTCTAAATGCTTTTTGATGCATGTTTTAATAACTGCCCTCTATAAAGCTCCTACTATGTGCCACGCCACGTTATGTTACCTGTGTTACTCTGAACCCTCACAGAACCTCTGTAGGGTGAGTTCAGAGGGGGTGAGAAGCTGCCCAAGGTCCCTCTGCTAGAAACTGACGGAAGAGGCTGGGAATCTAGCCGCCTGACCCAAGAGCCTGCAAGCAACCCCGCTCCCCAGATGCCCTGAATCCCACTGGGATGCCCTGAATCTTTCCTGCTATCAGCTCTGGTGGGCGAACACTTCTATCTCACAGATGAGACGCTGCAGCTCAGAGGGCCTGAGTGACTTACTCCGCATCCTTGGCGTGCGGACCTGCACAGCTTGGGGTTCAGGTCCAGGCCTCTGTGACTCCCAGCCCGCTCCCCTGTTCTGTTCCCCTCATTACAGAAAAGGGCAACAGGGAAGAAAGGGAGGGGGAGGCTGGTAGAAAAGGAGAGATGTCAGAACTGTCCCCTAAGTTCTTCTAGGCTCATGCGTGTACATACAGACACACTGACACAGCAGCATACACCCATGGGTGCACATCTCCCTGGGTGTACATCCACCCAGGGGCACACCAGGGTCAGTGTTCAAAAGTTCCCTGTGCTCACTGTGCTAAGAATGAAGAGAATGTCAGTGTGTGTGTGTCTTGGGAGTGGGGGGATTCAGCCTTGCCGGGTCCCTCGGTGGCCCTTCTGCCAGGGTCCGGACCCAGGAAATGCTCCATCGGGGCAGGGCCTCTCCCTGCTGGGGGTGGGGCCTCTGTCCTGCTGAGGGCCTTTGCTAAATAAAGTCTCAGCTCCAGGGAATCCGAGCTGTGCGTGATCTCTGGGGACTTCACCCGGCTGTTGGAGCCACAGGACCAGCCTGGCTCCTGTGTTGCCAGGAGCCCAATGTACCGTGTCTCTGCTCACTGGCCTGGACGCTTCCTGTCCCCAAGGACCATTCCCGTCCCTGGACTCACGTGAACCTACACAGACCCGCGTGGGGTGAGGACGTCCCATTCAAAACACAAGAGCAAACACTGAATGAGCCTGTGCTGTGTGTCAGACCCATGGTCTCCATGCT